AACGTTGGCTCCAAGATGAGAATGATCATTCAAGGTAGCCACATGGGCAATTAGTCCAAGCTTCATTAGGAACTAGGAAGCTAATTAAGGAGAGCAGCATGGAGTGCACGGGCGAATGAACAAGGTGGCCTATGGAAAAAAGTTTACAGTCGTTCCACTGAAAGTCAAAGGTGCAAGTCGTGAGATAGGATAAGTATATAAATGTACAATTCATATTAAAATTTCCATTTTTTTATCCCTGTCCAGCAGTTATGACTTACATAACCATTTATTTACACCGTTTATATAAACTCCTATATGTATCTGACTTAACCAGATATCTCACTAAACATGTGTATAGATCTTTAACAGTTTGTTTAACAAAATCAATTTTTACCTAGGAATTTAACTCAGCTGTATTGAAAATCAATTTGATGAATGTAGGGCATGTGCTTGGTAGTCACGACTCCCATATGTTGCCAAGCCATTTACACAGTATGTTGTGAAACGTTTCACTAAATCCAATGAATCTGGATTAAAGCATCACTCTGCCCCCTTTGGAGAAAGCACACTAATAGAAAAAAATGTAATGATCTGAAGGGGCACAGGAAAGTGTTTGGTAAATGTAATCTGATCCTGAAAAAGCTCAGTGAAAGTATTTTGTTTTTAGGTTTTACAAATAAGAAACACTGGATTTGCAGGATGTTGTTTAAGATAAAGTGATATTTGGCTCTTCATGGCAGAGAATTTGTTTCACTTTTAAATAAGTGCTGACTGCAGACTTTGTTTCGAAAAGAAATCAAAACCATTCCCTTAGCTGAGGTCTGCCTTGACTACAAAGGTTATCATTCAGTGCTGACAGCTAATTTATTTTGTCTCAGACACAAATCCCAGCCAGTCCTTTAGCTGAGGTCTGCACTGACTACAAGACACACTTATTTCACAAGGCATCTACATCTAGATTTTAACTTAGTGTTACAAATCTAAGTGCTTAGTTCATATTCCTGGGTTTTCGGGATGAAATGGTTATTTAACAAAATATGACAGTTTACAATTCCCTGGGCTCTATTGGACATTATTTGTGAGTGGCAATTTTATTCAGAATAGAGTTTCAATTATTCATAATTATTCGGTAATATTTGGTCTTACTTTCCATTTTTGTGAAATTATGATTTTCTATTGATTCTGTGTTCCACATTATTTCCATATTTACTGAATCTAAATGATGTGTTTTTGTTGATGTCAGTGTGTCAAAATTTCAATAGGTAGAATTTGCATTGTATGAAGAAGATTATTTTATGCAGTGTGCATTTTTGAAGTTTTTCTGACAGTAATATTGCTCTGTCAGATCTAATATCAGTTTTGGAAGTGAGTTGATCAGAGAGGAGGCAGTTGCATCCCTTTGGCATGACAGGATATTCTGCATAAGTGATCAGATGCAAGATAATGGTTGCTTGTCAGTGAATATGCTTGTGGATGTAGAATACAGCTATAACTATCTACCTTCAGGCTGTCCTCATACATCAAACAGATACAAGCAACAATAGCCTCACTCACTCACTCACTCACTCATCCACCCACCCACTCTCTCTGTCACACTCTCTCTTTCACTCTCTCACTCACTCTGACTCACTCACTCTCTCACTCACTCAATTCACTCTCTCTGTCTCACTCATTCATCCACCCACCCACTCTCTCTCTCTCACACTTTCACACTCACTAACTCATCCCACCACTCTCTCACTCTTTCTTTCACTTTCCTCTCTACCTCACTCACTCTCACCCACCCACACTCTCACTCACTCATCCTCATCATCCACTCTCTCTTTCTCTTTCACTCTCACCTCACTCACACTTTCATCCACCCACCCACTCTCTCTCACTCACTCACTCTCTCATCCACCTACCCTCTCTTTCTTTCTCTCTTCTCTCCACTCACTCACTCTCTCACCCACCCTCTCTCTCTCCTCACTCACTCATCCACCCACCGACCCTCCCTCACTCTCTCTCTCCTCTCTCTCTCTCTCTCTCTCTCTCACCCCACCCACCCTCACTCTCTCCCTCTCATCCACTCTCTCTCTCAGTGTCACTCACTCACTCACCTCAGAGGTTGTATTTTCACACTTATTTCTTAAAACTGTCTGATCTGTCTGAAGAGATTTTGTCTGGAAACAATATTCAAGTTTGTTACATTATACCTACCCCACACTGACCCCCAGCCAAGGAATTTCTACATTACATCAAACTTTTAACACCTGATTACCTTGCTTTCAATGTATCCCAACACGGCACACAATGTTTTATTGGTACTCATTGTCAGTATCTTGTATGAAAACAACATGTAAACAACCCTCAACAGCAAACACCGAAACAGGAACACAAGGTCATGAATATTCATGAGATCCGACATTCAAAACCAGTCAAGCCTGTCACTACCACATTCCCGTCCCGTAGTCCATGGAGGTCGAGTATGTGACATGTGACATGCACCACTGCACAGTGAGAGTCAGGTGTGAAGTCAAGGATATATCTCCTCATATATCCCACCTGGTAGATATTCCTCGATATGACCTGTTGAGGTGGATGCAGAAATTCAAGGTAATATTCCTCAGCATTACTGTGTTGAGTGGGAGCTGTAGACTGATAGGTGGGTGGCTATTGTGGAACAATCCCAGGTTAGACCAGTTTTATTTTAGACAGCTACGGTGTAGAGTTAAACACAGCAGACAGACGTCATGCAGCTACTGAACAAGGAATGTGTTTGTATTGGAGTTAAGTGTGTACGTGCTGTGCATATGCATGTTCATTGTATGGTGCAACTGTTCACTGCGGTAAGTAATAGTGCAATGGGGTTTTCTGTTTTCTGAAACTGTTCTTTTATTATAAAAGTTAAAAAATTAATTGGGTTGCTGTGTTTAAGGTGTGGGGATAAAACTGTCAGTGTTTTTGTTTGACAAATAGTGTTGAAGGGACTGACCTAGTTTTAGACAGGATACTGTCATGATGGAGGTTGTTTATGTTTGATTATCCACGAGGAGAAGGTTTGTGTTGGTGGAGAGTTGTTACAATATAACATGAGTAGATATGTGCTGGTTTGGGAGTAGATCTGTGTAGGTTTTGGAGTAGAAGTGTTCATCTCTTCAGTAGATCTGTGTTGTAGTTTTAGTACATTTGTGTTGGATTTTGAGTAAATGTGTGTTCATATTTCAGTAGATGTGTTCAACTCATAAGTACATTTGTGTGTTAAATGGATCTATGTTGTTTTTGAGTAGATTTGTGCTGTTATTGAGTGGGTCTATGTTGGTTTTGAGTAGATTTGTGTTGGTTGTTGAGTGGACCTATGTTGGTTTTTGAGTAGACTTGTGTTGGTTGTTGAGTAGGTTGTGTCAGTATTTTAGTAGATTATTTTCTGCTATTCAGTACAATTGTGTTGGACTCTGAGTGGGCTTGTGTCAGTTGTTTTTTCAACAGGTTTGTTCTGCTTTTGAGAAAATTTGTCTTGCATTTTTAATAATTTCAGCCAGTGAATGTGGAATAATTGATAATATGATTAATGATAATTATTAATTATGAGTAAGCAATCAATCATAACTGTTGATTCAGGAGGAAGAACCAACTAGCCCTGAGGGACCTACACCAAGTTATGGATGATATTTCTCTAGTATTTTTCATATTAATTACATATATTAAGGTGACATATCATAAGATGTGTCAGCACAAAATGCACATTCTGTGAATTCTAGGTTCAGTATTACCTGTGGAACAGTGTGATGTCATCATAATGACTGAATAAGATCACAGTTATTATGTTGAAGATTGATTTTCATATAAGTTATTTTTTGTGGAAATGTATTTATAAGAATGCGTGAGTTGGTTTGTCATGATGGTGGTGATGATGATGTTGATGATGATGATGTTGATGATGATGATGTTGATGATGATGATGTTGATGATGGTGATGATGATGGTGATGATGATGATGATGATGATGATGATGGTGGTGATGATGATGATGATGATGATGGTGGTGATGATGATGATGATGATGATGATGATGATGATGATGATGATGATGATGATGATGATGATGATGATGATGATGGTGGTGGTGGTGGTGACTATGTTGATGATAATGAAAAAAAATGACATCTATTTCCATCACAACTGTTGGAATGTTTCATAGAGATAAAGTTCTTTGAGAAGAATATTTATTGTATTTATTTATCATTTTCCTTGCAATAAATAGATCAAAACTCATTGATTTTATTACAACCTTCTTCATGACAATGACAATGTTAGTCAGCAAGTACACTGCTCACTGAAACGTGCTCACTAGAAAACTTGTTAGCTACTTTCTTGACTGACAGACCTTTGAGATGTGATTGCTTTGATCTCATCTTGCCACGTAAGACTTCTTTAGCAAAACCAGGTCACCAGTAACTAGATGTACTGGTTCAGCTGTTTGGATATTTCAGTTTAAACGTCCTAGAAGTTGTGTTTTACCTGTTAATAGCACAAGGTCGTAGTCTGATCAAGTGCAATTTCACAAGGCCTGGTCCAGCTTCACAGAGACCGGAGGACTTCTGACCGAACAGCCTTTTATCTTATCAGTGTTTTCTGATCATCCAGAATACTGTGTGCTTGTATTTTGATCAGGTACATTGCCACAAGACCTATTTTGATCATGTGCAGTGCCACAAGACTTGTTTTGATCAGGTGCATTGCCACAAGATTTGTTTTGATCAGGTACATTGCCACAAGACTTGTTTTGATCAGGTGCATTGCCACAAGACTTGGTTTGATCAGGTACATTGCCACAAGATTCCTGTTTTGATCAGGTGCATTGCCACAAGACTTGTTTGATCAGGTGACCCCCACAAGACTTTATATTGATCAGGGTCATTACCATTTTGTAAATCAGAGATTTAGGTGTTTCGTTCAACTTGTCTGCAGAGGCACAGTTTTACTATACACACACTGACAGTATATCTGATTGTGAGCATTCCCCTTTTGTATTCCAGTAAAGGTAGCAGAAACTGTGAGACAGACCAGCACTTCTGCAACAGAGCCCACCCCAGAACTACCGCCAGAACCACCACAAGCAGCAGGTGAACTTCTGTCTCCTTTCCATTAGTTCATGATCTGTCCCCTGTTGAATTCCAGGTAGGAACAGACCGCCTCTGTGGTGTAGTGGTTAGAGCGTCCGCCCGGAGCGCGGAAGGTCGCGGGTTCGATCCCCGACCGCGTCATACCAAAAGACGTTAAAATATGGTACTTGTTGGTCCCTGCCTGGCTCTCGGCATTAATGGGTACAACAAGGACTGGTCTGCTCGGAGTCAGTTTAATGTGTCTGAGTGGGGTATTCATGCTTCACTGTGGCATGGTATCTCAGTGGGCTAGCACTTTAAAACCAGCTTCAGTCTGGGCTAGTACAAGCAGCCGCACATACACATACACACGCGCATGCACGTCTTCATATGAGCAATATCTTCTCAAGCACGACGTAAAACCCAATTTCACCTCACCTCGTAGGAACTGGTCCCCAGCAACCCATGCTGCTTGTAAGAAGCATAGACTGTGTTGTGGTCTGGTTTTGATGTTGTTTAACACTGCACTCAGCATTATTCCAGCTATATGGTGCAGTCTGTAAATAATCGAATCTGAACGAGACAATCCAGTGATCAAGAGCATGATCATCAATCTATGCAGGATGACGTGTTGACCAAGTCAGCAAGCCTGACTGAGCTAGTGACCACACTTGGCAGTATTCCAGCTATATTGTAGCAGTCTATAAATAATCGAATCTGGACCAGACAATCCAGTGATCAAGAGCATGATCACCAATCTATGCAGGATGACATGTGTCGACCAAGTCAGCAAGCCTGACTGAGGTAGTGACCGCACTCGGCAGTATTCCAGCTATATATGTAGCAGTCTATAAATAATCGTGTCTGGACCAGACAATCCAGTGATCAAGAGCATGATCATCAATCTATGCAGGATGACATGTGTCGACCAAGTCAGCAAGCCTGACTGAGCTAGTGACCGCACTCAGCAGTATTCCAGCTATATTGTGGCAGTCTATAAATAATCGAGTCTGGACCAGACAATCCAGTGATCATCAACATGATTATTGATCATGTTAGTATTCTGTTATGACAAGCATGGGTTGCTGAAGACAAATTCTAACCCAGATCTTTTCACGTCTCATAGGTCATGGTGTAGCTGGAAGAATGTTGCTAACTGCGGCATTCAAGCGGCCATGTCAAGTGTCAAGTCAAATGATCTGTGACCTGTGAATAAATTTACCATCAAATCTCAGTGATATTGACATTTCCCCCAATTTGGTTGTATTGTTAAGTTCAAGAGGTCAAAGGAAGCCCAGTCGTACGAGGTGCTATAATTCTCATTGTGATGAATATCATGAATTTTATAATAGCAAACTTTTGTTGTGCTTTTGTTTTGTTGATTTATTAATATCAAAGGGACAAGTTAAGGTTACCTAGTTTTGTAGACATTTCAAGACAGGCCATTCCACTAGGATCTAACTCATTGTAGTATTGCACTGTGATGAGAGGGCATCAGATCAGTGCTTCTGTGATTGCATTATGAACAATATGATGAAGAAATCACTAGAATCTGTTGATTCTGCTTTCAGAACCTGTATCAGAACCGGTGACTGAACCAGTAGCCAAACCAGTGACTGAACCAGTAGCCAAACCAGTGACTGAACCAGTAGCCATACCAGTGACTGAACCAGTAGCCATACCAGTGACTGAACCAGTAGCCAAACCAGTGACTGAACCAGTGTCAGAAGCTGTGACGGAACCTGTGATAAAATCTGTGACAGAATCTGTGTTAGAGTCCGTGACAGAGCCTGTGACAGAGCCAGTCACAGAGCCAATCACAGAGCCAATCACAGAGCCAGTGGCAGAACCAGTCACAGAATCATCACAGACTCCTGAGACTGAGCAGACGGATGCAGCCCCTCCCCCCGGTGAACCAGCAGACCCAGGTGAGTCAGTCAGCCATTGCTCCATGTCTCCATGTCTTAGACAAGTACCTTGTACTGGTTGTGCTGCGAATAGTATACTACTCAACTCCTCCCAGTACAACAATAGCTTTTATGATGTCACTGTACAAAATGGCAGATGGAGCCAGTTGGTCACCAAAAGCAAAACAATAAACTTGCCTTGGATTCAAAACCAACAAACCTCACATCTGGTTGTCGTTTATAGTTGTCGGAACTATTTTGTGTATCATACAAGACTTATGTAATATAATGCTCCATTATGGTGTCAGCCTTCTCTGCTAAAATATTGGGGAGAACTTTCCAAAGCTAAAAGAAACAAGCTTAACTTGCTAATTAAATCAGCATGTAACTTGATCCTGAGCTGCTTGTGTAGTATAGCTTAGGCAGACCACCAGGACAAAGTACAAGTCCACCTCCTGTTTGTGTTGCCCAGACCTTGCTTGATGTACTGTCCCTAGCAAAGATACCTCTCCCACAGAAGCTTACAAACCTCACAGGGCTATATCATTACCACAGCTTCAGATGCATCATCAGCAACCTATAACCTTGAGAATTATGAACCTGGTATCAGAAATGCATGGTCAGGGTGACCCTTAAACGGAGAATCAGGTCGGTTTTGTTTTTCAGGGCTCAATAACCCCATCTCCAGAATATCTGTAGTAGGTTAAGTTAATGAGTAATGTCTTGAGGGTTCTGTTCCCTTAGGGCGAGGGGGGTAGCCTAGTGGTTAAAGCGTTGGCTCGTCATGCCGAAGACCCGGGTTCGAATCCCCACATGGGTACAATGTGTGAAGCCCATTTCTGGTGTCCCCTGCCGTGATGTTGCTGGAATATTGCTAAAAGCAGCGTAAAACCAAACTCAGTCAGTTAGTCAGTCTGTTCCCTTAACACCAAAAAGTATGATCTAAAGCATTCCAGATGGCCATGGACTATGTATACACATGGAAAAAGTATCGCAACACCTAATTTTTTTAACGCCATTTATATGTAGCCATTTATATTCGCATCATAATTATGTTTGTTTGCATATTATTTTGACCCTTTTGGTGCACCATATATTGATTTTAGATATGCATGAGTTACAATCAAGGAAGACCATTTTGTGCAATTTGTGTACCGTCATTAAGCAATGAATATGTTTCTGTAAACTGTTCTTGCAGGTCAATGATTTCATTGCTAATAAGCAAATACAGGTCTTGCAAAACTGAAAACTGTTTAAGTTTGGCAAATTATTGGTATGCTGAATGCTGGCATGTCATTGAAGTCTATTGCAAGAGATGTTGGTTGTCATCCATCACCTATCAGCCAATTGGCCAGAAAACATCAGAAAAGTAATGATGTTAAGGACATTTAGGTCGACCATGAGTGACAACTGCAAGGGAGGATGCAGCCCCTTTTCAGAATTACAAGACTTCAAGTGGCGTATTAAGAACAGAACAGTCTGAAATCGCCTGAAATATTTTGACGTATAGAGCCAGAAGACATATGAGAAGTCTGTTATTGTCCCCAAAGCACAAGGAGCTTGGTGTCAAGCTTGACTTCACTGGAATTTGAGGTCATGGGAAAGTCGTGCCATTGGTGATTCCTTATGTCAAGAAGCGGTAGCAAATCTACCTTCGTCCACCAGGGGTCTAGATCTCAATCCCATAGAGAATGTTTGAAACATTATGGGTCACAGAATACGCCAGATAGATATTACAGTACAAAATCTTGATGAACTGGAACAAGCTCTTAATCAAGAATGGAATACCTCAATATCAAATTCAATGTCAAATATAATCAATAAAAAAGAGGGGCAGGGATGTTATTGCAGTTAGGGGGAGGTTGCACCAGATATTGACATTGTGCTTGGTTATTGACACTTTCGTTATTTCTTCAGGATTGTTGTGTGTCAGAATGTTCAAAATGACCATAGTTGTTAACATCATGCAACCAGAGTTATCTAGGACTGCAAAATGAGCCAATTTATTGCCATGTTTGCTTATCTGACTGGCCTACAGTTTTTCTATCTTTGTGCCTTTGGAAAAAGCCTTGAGTGTCCAGCCAGGTGCCTTTTAATAATTCCTTGGGGATCAATTTAGCCAGATAGTAAGTTAAATTGAGTTCTGGAGGTTCCTTTGCTTTGGTTAATAGAAAACATACTGATACTATGAAAAATATGGAGTGTTGCAATACTTTATGCTATGTGTATATAATCAGTCAGGTATTTTGCATGAACACATGCATAATGAATTTGGATTCCTATGTGCATTTCAAGTATATGAAGGGAGAACTACTTGTATTTTGTATGACCCAGATATTTTTGTCACATTATAAATCTATAAAAAATAGAGATATCCACATCTTGGAAGAGTACCAGGATTTTGATTGATTTTATTATTTTTAGCAAAGTTTATAGCCCAAATGTATTTATTGAAAACATTTTTGGTTTCATAGAAATGGAGTGTAACCTTCAGATTCTCATGCTATTTACTATTTTTGAAGTATTTTTCAACTTCTGTTATTGGTTTAGTTTTTGCATGATATGTTTTTTATCTTTTGCCTGTTGTCTCTCTCAGTGGAATCAATAATGAAGAGGTCTACGGGAAAGGCTTCAAAAGCCCAGCCCAAGATGTCCAAATCCACAAACAAGCCAACAGGTGACAAAGGAAATCCTTATCATAAAGAACATTTGGACAAAGCTGGTGCCATTGAACCGATGATGGCTAGTTCAAACAAGCCAACAGGTGACAAAGGAAACCCAATAAAGCATTTGGACAAAGCTGGCGCCATTGAACCAGTTATGGCTAGTTCAACTAACCAAGCTTTGAGCGCCCAGCCCAAGATGTCCAAATCCACAAACAAGCCAACAGGTGACAAAGGAAATCCTTATCATAAAGAACATTTGGACAAAGCTGGCGCCATTGAACCAGTTGTGGCTAGTTCAACTAACCAAGCTTTGAGCGCCCAACCCAAGATGTCCAAATCCACAAACAAGCCAACAGGTGACAAAGGAAATCCTTATCATAAAGAACATTTGGACAAAGCTGGCGCCATTGAACCAGTTATGGCTAGTTCAACTAATCAAGCTTTGAGCTGGCCCAAACCAGTAATGATGTCCAAATCCACAAACAAGCAAAACAAACAAGACAACAGGTGAAAAGGAAATCCTTATCATAAAGAACATTTGGACAAAGCTGGCGCCATTGAACCAGTTATGGCTAGTTCAACTAACCAAGCTTTGAGCGCCCAACCCAAGATGTCCAAATCAACAAACAAGCCAACAGGTGACAAAGGAAATCCTTATCATAAAGAACAATTGGACAAAGCTGGCGCCATAGAACCAGTGATGGCTTGTTCAACCAACACAGCATTATCCTCTGCTGCCCCCTCTCGGAAGTCAGATGTCATTGAACCTGTGATGTCCAGCTCTGTTAGCCAGGCTCTTGGAGACAAAGGGAACCCTTACCACAAGAAAGACCTGGATAAGTCAGAAGAACCTAAGATGTCCAAATCCGCAAGTAGCACAACAAATCAGGCTCCCCCTAAAGGAAAGGCTGACATTATTCAACCTGTGATGTCCTCTTCTGTAAGCCAGGCTCTTGGAGACAAAGGGAACCCTTACCACAAGAAAGACCTGGATAAGTCAGAAGAACCTAAGATGTCCAAATCAACAAGTAGTTCAACACATCAGGCTCCCCCTAAAGGAAAGACTGACATTATTCAACCTGTGATGTCCAGCTCTGTTAGCCAGGCTCTTGGAGACAAAGGGAACCCTTACCACAAGAAAGACCTGGATAAATCAGAAGAACCTAAGATGTCCAAATCAACAAGTAGTTCAACACATCAGGCTCCCCCTAAAGGAAAGGCTGACATTATTCAACCTGTGATGTCCTCTTCTGTAAGCCAGGCTCTTGGAGACAAAGGGAACCCTTACCACAAGAAAGACCTGGATAAGTCAGAAGAACCTAAGATGTCCAAATCCACCAGTAGTTCAACACATCAGGCTCCTCCTAAAGGAAAGGCTGACATTATTCAACCTGTGATGGCTTGTTCAACCAACACAGCATTATCCTCTGCTGCCCCCTCTCGGACGGGGATGTCATTGAACCTGTGATGTCCAGCTCTGTTAGTCAGGCTCTTGGAGACAAAGGGAACCCGTACCACAAGAAAGACCTGGATAAGTCAGAAGAACCTAAGATGTCCAAATCCACCAGTAGCACAAGTCAGGCACCCCCAAAGGGAAAGACTGACATTATTGAACCTGTGATGTCCAGCTCTGTAAGTCAGGCTCTTGGAGACCAGGGAAACCCTCATTACAAGGCAAAACTTGATAAATCAAAGAAATCCAAAGGCAAAGAATCCAAGAGTCAAAAGACCACAACCTTAACTCCAGCGACACAGGACCCATTAATGGCTCAGCCTGATATCATTGAACCAGTGATGGCAAGCTCAACAAGACAAGCTCTTGGTGACCGGGGCAATCCATACTACAAGAAAAATCTAGACAAACAGTCAAGGAAGGGTGAGAAAGTAGTCTGCCTTCAGTGGTACCTCTTCTCTGCTGTTCTCATTACTGGCCCAGTATAGACGTTGGCCACGTAGCTGCTCGGATTACTCTCATCTTCTGGCATTGCTTGGTTCAGGTTTATTCATGCTATTCTATTTACACCGCATCTACAGGGATGGAGGATTTTCAGGCTGTGGAAGTTATTCCTTGTATGGCTTCTGGCTCATTGTATACCCTATTTAACCAACTGAGCACCTTCTTTCAGTAACCACCTCATTCTTACAGCCTTCCTTGTGGTATTAACATATAACAAAACACCAAGGTGTAGTTATGTCTTGTTTTCTCAAAGTATTGGCCAAGATACCGTTTGTTGCAGTGCCTCCATAGGTAGTTACTCCAAAAGGAACCCTGTTTTTATTCTCACTCTCCATATTTCCTTCCTTAGTTCAAGGGTGATTCCAGGACACATTGGGCCATCATAACTTCAAGCAGTCCACTACCTATCATGCCCATTGTTAGGGTTGCTTGGCACTGAAGGTTTACTTATCTTAAATCAGTTTGTGCTTGTTAGGTTGAAAATAGCAATACAGTAATCTGACGGTTGGATTGTCCATTTCATGAAGTCACCCATGAATATTTGTCAGAATTACTCATGAAACCCCCTGTCCCTCCCCAAATCATTTTGTAAAGTGTTGCATGTGATTAAAAAGTAAGCGATAATTATTTTGTTCATACGATCTTTAATCTTTCTAGATTGATGATTATTATGGTATGTAAATTACCAGATTCAGTATTGTATTATATGTCAAACTTTCAAACATATGAGAAAAGGGTATAATCATCACACCAGTAGACATTGATTTGCAGTGCATAGATCAAGAGTCTTTCAAACACAGGAGACTTACAGCAAAACCTTATTAGTCCGAACTCTTCAGTATAAAGGACAATTAAAATTTGGAACGTCAGGATGCATGACAGAACTCAGTATTAAAACCTGAGAAGATGTTATTCTGGATGATTTCAACAGAACAGCATAGTCCAGATTGTCAGGGTTCCACTGTGTAAACACCCATGAAGGTCCGGGTTAGAATATTGATCTTCAGTAACCCATGCTTGTCGTAAAAGGCGACCTTAACTGATCGGGTGGTCAGGCTCGCTGACTTGGTTAACACATGTCATCGGTTCCCAATTGCGTAGATCGATGCTCATGCTGTTGATCACTGGATTGTCTGGTCGAGACTCGATTATTTACAGACCGCCGCCATATAGCTTGAATATTGCTGAGTAGCGGCGTAAAACTCAACTCACTCACTCAAATCCACTGTGTAAGGATGGTAACTGTCTGCAGTCCCTAGCAACCTTTCCTCATCTCTGCAACCAACTCTGAGGCTCAATGGGTACCGCATCACCACCATCCCTGCTATACTGCTTCTTGTAATCATCCTGTTCTTTGCTTTGTCTGTTTCATATATTGGTGGTCTCAATTATTATTCATCTTTGTAGATTTACAATAAGTTGAAATGTATCCATGTAGCTGACTATATCATTATAGAATTTATATCACTGCTTCATATTGGAATTTCACATGTACTCAAGTGGGTGTCCGAGTTGTATATGCTGTGTATGAAAGCTTGCCTGAATCCTATGACTGTGGGTTTGAATCTTAGATTTGCCCTGGGTCGTGGGGTAGCCTAGTGGTTAAAACGTTGGCTCGTCACGCCGAAGACCAGGGTTCGAATCCCCACATGGGTACAACGTGTGAAGCCCATTTCTGGTGTCCCCCGCCGTGATGTTGCTGGAATATTGCTAAAAGCAGCGTAAAACCAAACTCAGTCAGTCAGTCAGTAGATTTGCCCTGGTTATCAAATTAAGATTTTACTGACTCGGGTATGTTTTAAGAAAGGCAGGATACTTTATGGAGACATCTTAATTACATTACAATGCAACATTCTGGTATAGATTGTTATACTTGCTTGACAACAGCATAAGAATCTATACCGAAACGTCACATCGTAATGTAATAAAGAAGATGTCATCCATTAAGTATCCTGCCTGTCTTATTACTCATCAACTGCTAAAATGCCAGTCAAACAGACTGTTAATGTTTAATGATTACTATGAGAGTCAAGGAGACTTTATTCAAGTTGTACATCTTGGAGTTAAATGTCAAGTGAGGATCTGAATGACTCAGTAATTGAGTGAAATTAAATCTGCTCTGAACACTGTTCCAGTTATATCTCAGTGCCGGCTTAATGTTGGGGAAAGCTCAAAATGAGGCAAGTCTTATGATAGAGGGTATGGTTCTGACAAACAAGGAACAAAATCTAGATGAATTCAAATCCATGATCATAGGCTAAATGTGGGAGAAAGCTCAAAATGATGCAAGTATTTTCATAATGGGTATAGGTCTGACAAACAGAGAAACAAAATCAAGATGAACTAGAATTCAAACCCATGATTATAGCTTTCTGGCATGTCTAAGGGAAGCAACTCTGCCCTGACACTTGGGCCGTCTGCTCCCTCCATTTAGGATCTGATAAAGTGGTAACTGCCATTATTGAGGTTATGTACTTTATAAGATTGATTATGTATACTGAGGGGAAAAAATAATGGATCACATGAAATCACAAGTGTTCCTTTATTTTTTTCCAGGTTTTTCACAAGTTCTGCGATACAAAGCTTGTGAAGAAACCTGGAAAAAAATACTTTCATGTGATCCCTTATTTTTTTTCCTCAGTATATATCTGTATATTAGATGTTTTTAATACATTTCTTTGCAGATTATTTCAATTTAAATAAAGAACCAAAAGTGAATTTCCCTATATACATTTTCTCCAGATCACCATTATTTCAGAGAACAGAATGGAATTTCCTTGAAATCTTAAATAATCAGAGGATTGTTGAAATGAACTTTTAGCTTCAAAAAAGGTTTTCTCATGTAATGGTTGTGAAGAAAGTTGCTAGTACAGAACAAGGAATAATAATTAGGTAATTAGGTATACCATCAATTGTTTCAGTCATGAAAGAAGATAGTAATTTGAAATGAGATTGGGGCGGTGGGGTAGCCTAGTGGTTAAAGCGTTCGCTCGTCACGCCGAGGATCCGGGTTCGATTCCCCACATGGGCACAATGTGTTAAGCCCATTTCTGGTGTCCCCCGCCGTGATATTGCTGGAATATTGCTAAAAGCGGCGTAAAACTAAACTCAGTCAGTCAGTCAGTGAAATGAGATTATTTTTTTATTGTTTCATTGAAATAGAATTTGTTCACATATTTATCACAACAGACCAAACAAATAAACCAAACAAAGGAAGCTAAGATTTCTATTTGTGGAGAGGCCCTGTAACACAAGACAAAAATGCAGAATTGCTTAAATATAGAATCCATCAAAACCATTAACTGTCTTATATAGTTCATATTGTTTCCAGTTTCAAATGTTAATGTTAACATTAATGTTACTGTGTTAAAAATATTTTAACTGTTAATGTTCCAAAATGTTACTGTGTTAAAAGTAATGAATCCGGGTAGAATAGGTCTTCAGCCACTCATGTTACTGTGTTAAAAATTGAGGATCGGGTGGTCAGGCTAAGCTGACTTGGTTGACACATGTCATCGGTTCCCAATTAGCGCTAGATCGATGCTCATGCTGTTGATCACTGGATTGTCTGGTCCAGACTCTAATATTTACAGACCACCGCCATATTGTATAGCTGGAATATTCTTGTGGTCAGGTCAGTCTTAAAAGTAATGAAAAAAGAGAAACTTTAATGGCCTTTGTAAATGCAACATTTTTGTGTGTTACGTTTTGTATCATATGATGAATATTTATAGCCTTTTTCACAATATATGTTTAGTCTTATTCCAAAGTAAAAGACTTGTTGACTATTTACAGATATATCTTGTAACCATTTTAACAGCAACAAAAATAACCCATTTCTAATATTTCAACCTAGATATACTTTGCAGTATGAAATACATTGATACATTCATGTTTCCAAATGCACACGCACTGTTTATTACATGATCTGTGGAAAAACATTGCAACTTAGGTCGCAAATAGTTTTTTTTATAATTTGTCAGTTTTGAATGTATGGCTGGCTTCAGACCATAGAGATGAGTAATCACTCACTAATAATTGATTAATTATCACTAGATATTAGAGAGAAACTCTAAACAGTGATAAGAGATAATAATCAACATATTTCATGTCCCCTGTGAGTGATAACACAAGTAAGGATGGATTGTGAAAGCTGTATTGTGAGCTGGATTTAGATGTGGCCCATCAATAGAAATATAATGTGTATATGAATTTGCCTCTCTTACAGACACAGCGGAGGATGAAGTCAAGCCAGCAACTGCACAGGCAGACAAAGGTGGGCACATTGGGGCACATGGTGGTACTTAGTGGGCACATGGGAGGGGTGCTTTTGGATAAAGCTTGCATATGGTGGGCACATGATGGTACATAGTGGGCACATGGGTGGGGTGCTTGGTGATAACGTTTGCATATGGTGGCTACATGGTGACAACTGGTGGGCACATCGGAGGGAAGCATGGGTCAATATAAATGTTATATGCTGGGCACATGGCGATACTTAGTGGGCACATGTGGCACATAGGAGGGGAACATGGGTAAATGTAGCTAGTATGCCGTCGGCACATTGGGGCTCCAAGTTGGGATGTGATGGACTCGTGGTAAACCAGGTCGGAAAATATGTATACGCATATGAAAGGTATATAACTGGGCACATTGAGAGCGGATCAGGAATTGTAAATGAATGAGTGAAAGTTTGGTTTACACTCCTGCCATCTTGTATCAGCTTTATCATGAACTGTTTTATTCTGAACCTCTCCTGCTTGCTGGCTCAGCTGTAGCTTATTTGTCCTGTCAATGATGGTCCATGATATTCCAATTTAAATATTCCTATCAAATTGACCACATAAAATTCAAATTCATTTCACAAGAATTAAAGCTTCATTTTACAAACTGGTCAAATGCAACAGAATGCTCCATGTCATATCATATATTGAAGGTGATAAAGGGATGAAGAAAAGGATGGAAAACCGAAACTGCTCAATCAGCATCCAGCCAATCAGAGGCGGGCAAGGAATCACCAGGTGCACCTAGCAGCCAATCAGAAGACAGTAAACCAACATCTGATATTTCTTCAACCTCAACCAGTCAGTCAGATGATAGTTCAAAAGTATCAAGCAGTCAATCTGCTGACAGTTTAAAAGCAGATTCCGTCTCACCAGAAAAGCCTCTTCCTGACATCTTGTCAAGCTCAAAGCCGGATACTGAGGATGTGAATAAGAACAAGCAAGATAAAAATACCAGCCAATCAGATGCTGTGAATTCAAATAAGGACCAATTAGGTTCCAGTAAACCACGAACTGTGTCTGGATCATCGGCAGGGAAACAGTCTCGTTCAGGCTCCACCATATCCCAGACAGAAGGTCTGCCAACTCTGGCCTTAAGAGAACCGCCTCCGTTGTTCGATGATGATGAAGATGTGGATAGGTGAGATTTTCTAGACAAACTTAATTTTGACAGGGATGGTAGTGTAGCATAGTTGTTGAAGCGTACACTCATCATGCCAAAGACATGGGATCGATTCCCCAAGTTGGTACAATGTGTCAAACACATTTCTGGTGATATTGCCAGAATATTACCGGCAAGTGCTGGAATATTCACTCACTCACCACTCACCACTCCTCACTCACTCACTCACTCACTCACCACTCACCTCACTCACTCACCCTCCACTCCTCACTCACTCTCACTCACTCACCTCACTCACTCACTCACTCTCCACTCACTCACTACTCACTCACTCACTCACTCCTCACTCACTCACTCACTCACTCACTCACTCACTCACTCACTCACTCACTCACTCCCTCACTCCTCCTCTCACTCACACTCACTCACTCACTCACTCACTCCTCACTCACTCACTCACTCACTCACTCACTCACTCACCACTCACTCACTTCCCATATCAGAATGGTCCCCAAATACTTAGCTTGCATCTAACAGCCAACCAACACATGCCTGACCGAAACTGCTTTGGATCAGTGGTCATAATATTAATCACTGGATCATCTGGTCCAGACTCTATTATTTACAAACTAACATCACGTGGCTGCAGTCTAGCACTATACAACAAACACACACGCGCGTTCACTGCTGTATCACTGATGTCATCATGAATGTTGTTGCAGTCCACTGTTCGGGAACGACAACACTGTGAGTGACACGTTTGGGTCAGGATTGAACCCCCCTGACAAGGAGAAGCCAAAGGATCCAAAGAAACCCACCAAGCTGCCAACTAAAGATGAGCTTGCAGGAGACGAGGTGAGTGTGCAAGCATTTTTATCAGCCGGCAAAAAGAAACATAGCTGTGTGCTATTTGAACATGAATGTCCTCCGTTTCTTTCTGTTTGCCCCCAGTATTGAAATAATATGGTAATGGTTTGGTGAGTGACTGTCAACTCTAATTTATGAAGGGGAGATAATCCATTAGTAAACATAGAATGATGGTGTGGAAAAGCTTTCTGATATTTGCACACATGCTTCTCATTGTGATTGGTCAGGTGATGATATGTCAATGTGTTTATTGTTGAGAAAATTACAATATGTCATCGATTGTTCGTGACGTCACAAAGTTAGAAAGCTGTTTGGGAATGATATATATGTATATGATTATGTGTAGGGATGCCATGATACATCGTTGCATCGATACTTTTTCTAAGACGTTACAGTTATAGATACATTCAAAACTATCGATATTTAGTTTTAAAAGTATCGGTTTAAATATGTTCATGTATCTTTTACATTTTGCAATTGTTATATGTTTTTTGATGTTATGAGAGTTATAAATGATTATTTTTCATGCACAATGATGGGAAATTAGTACTTTTTAATCTCTGAGAATAAAAAATGTTTATCTTTTCATGGACAATTATAAAATATTAAATATTAATGTTCAAAATGTAACTAAATTTACGCAATAATGCTGCAAAAATAGGTATCATGATACGTTTCAAATCGTGACTTGGGTATCGTGATACGTATCGATTCATGAAACTTATGTATCGTGACATCCCTAATTATATATAACTATACCAATCACTGGATTGTCTGGACCAGACTTGATTGTTTACCTGTCATGCTCTTGTTAGAATACTGATGAATGCAGCATTAATATACAAACATTTCAGACATAACATAAATATGATGGTATTTTCAAAACATTGTTTTTCTCGGAGGACCTGAAGACGGCCCCACCACTACCACTGTTTGGGGATGACGATGATGACGATGACCTTGACTGGCTCAGCGGCTAAACAACACACAGTGTCATGAATCATTATGACAATACAAACTGATGTCGTATATCGTCATGACAACATACACAGATGTCATATTTCGTCATGACGATGCACACTGATATATATCATCATAACAACACACTCTGATATTATGTTTCATTACGATAACACTCACACTGATATCACATATTGTCATGACAACGGACACGATTGTCATGATAACCATGACAACACACCGAAATGTTGTATGCGTATAACAATTACGCTGATGTCAAGCACTGTCATAACACCGTACACTGATGTCATGTATCGTCATGACAACTGATATTGATGTCATGTGTTGTCCTGGCAACTGACACTGATGTCATGTATCGTCATGATAACTGACACTGATGAGTTAAGACGGATCAGCAGGGAATACTTCAAATTAATACTCCAGTGTTTGTTAAGCATCATTTGTTAACTGGCAATGTGTTAAATATGTCATACTTGCCTCTAAGATCACTCACATAAAAACCTCTCTTGGTACAACCTATGACTGAATTTTTTAAAATAGCATTATTTTATAAAAACATACATTTCTTTTCTTTTTAAACAGTTTCAAAACCGGTTATGAAATCCAAAAGAAATTATTTTTCCTTATCCTGACTCATGAGAAGCAAAGATCATGAGTCAGGATAAGTATAAAATATCAATTTTACTTAAAAAATTACATACTTCTGACCATGTTTTATTATGATATTGTAATAGAATTTTATTCAGACCCCACACTGTTTATCAGAGATGTTTAAATTTAGCTGGAGCACATTTAACATTATCAGACAGCATCTTTGCTGTTGAGACCTCGGCATTTCCTTGAGGACCATGTGGGTCAAGAGGCAGTGGGGTAGCCTGGTGGTTAAAGCGTTCACTCGTCACGCTGAAGACATGGGTTTGATTCCCCACATGGGTACAATGTGTGAAGCCCATTTTTGGTGTCCCCGCTGTGATATTGCTGGAATATTGCTAAAAGTGGTGTAAAACTAAACTCACTCACTCCTGGGTCATGCCTTATCTTTCAAGATGAGAGGAAAAATGCTTAAGTCAGACCCCCCTCTGTTCTCTTGTGGAAGACGCTTCCTTTCTGTAATATATATATCTAAACCCATGGGATAATGAAATATTGAAATAATAAGATTAAATGAAAAAGTAAAATTCTTTTTTGACACATATTCTTGAACAATATTTTGTGATGAAGGGGTGCAAACTCCTTTTTAAGTTACTTGTGTGAATTTGAGATCATTAGAACAACATACCAGATGTTCATAATGAACATATTTGAGATTTCAATAATATTTTTTAAACTTTGAAGAGGTTTCATCTGTACAGCAAGAAAGTGTAGGTCCATATATGTATGTTCAATAATGGCCAATGTCTTTCACTTGTGGCATTGTTAGGGAAAAAGACTGTAAGTCTTAGCTCTGAGAGTTGTGCGAGGTGTGATCAATGTATGAACTGGGTGTGTTTGACCATCTTGAAATCAAAATGCCTTATTATAGATGTGTAGCATTTTATTAGATAGTATTCATCATATAGAAGTATGATTCACAGCATGGCCTTATTATGATGCTATTGGTGATTGGTTGATTGATTGATTGATTGATGGTGATGATGATGACATTAGCGACCATATACAATGATGTATTAGAGAATGTTGCTTGTTTATTTATTTTACATTGTTAATGGAATTCAGAAGTTATTTGCACAAACTTTTCATTATATGAACTTACTACTTAACAATTAGAATTTTCAACAAATAAATCCAACCTGACTGAGAAATCCTTTGAAAACATATTACAAAGATCGAGAAAAAAATATTCCAGGAAATTGATAAAAATATAATATGCAGTTATTTTATAACTATATTTTGTTTTTGAATAAAGCTTTGTGTTGTGTTAAGAGGTATCTAAGATTATCTGTCACTATGAAGGTGTACATGTGCTGCCTCTATAACTTGCACCCTGCTATGGATATAGTGCTGTGACTAAAACCACAGGGATTCACTCAGAATTTCTATACAAATTTTGACAATTGGGTAGCCTAGTGGTTAAAGCGTTTGGGTTCAATTCCCCATATGAGTACCATGTGTGAGGTCCATTTCTGGTGTTCCCAGCCGGGATATTGCTGGAATATTGCTAACAGTAGTGTTAACTCACTCACTTCTATACAAATGATTCTAAGCAATAATCTCGGTTTGAAATCCCAGTGATCCAACTGACAAGTAGACAATGTGAAATGTTATTGAATAATTGTATTCAGCTGCAACAAATTTCAAGATAAGGCCAGACCAATTTTATTTTTTGTTTTACAGATTTTTGTCCTCAGAAAACCTAAAGGCAGGAGGGAAAAAAAATATAAATAAAATCACCAGTCAAAGTAATATTCTTCTAAATACTCAAAGTATTTTACTTTTGACAATTTATGAAGTGTATATGGGCAACAACAAAAATCTTTAAAAAATCTCTTGTAAGTTTACATTTTTGGCCCATAAAAACATTAGGATTTTATTTTTTGATCGGGAAAAATTAATTTATATTTTTTTTCTTATTCTTGAAAAAATATGACAGGCGGATCCGTAAAACAAGAAATAAAATTGGTCTGGCCTAACAGATTTTTGAAACCATACTAATACTTGCGGAATTTTCAGATTTTGCTCTTGATTTCCATGTATTAGTTATCTTGTATTATGTTTCTCAAATCCAAGTAAGTTCATACGCTCTGGTTCCACTTGATCATGTATTAGAGTAGCATGGTACAAATATCAATATAATGAACTAACAATTGTGATCTCATTTTAAGTCTCATCGAACATTTGGTGCAAAGATATTGGGAAGAAATTCGGTGCTACCACATGTGTGAAAGATAAAAAGTCCATGTACGATTGTCTCGGGATTAATAATTCCCTAGCTGGAGTGATTAGTTATGTGGACATTTCAACATTTTCATAACAGGTAAAATATATCAGTTTAATTTAAATTTCAAATTTAATTCTATTTCAATTGTCACTTTTAAAAAATTATACCAGGAAGCATTGAACTGATTGATTGCCATATGTTTAACAGTATGTAACCATGGTAACATGTTTAATAGATTAATGAATGATGTACACATAATTGGTACAATACAATGATGATGATGATGATGATTTGTCCTCAGCTAAATTTAAATAAATTGCAAATAATGGTGCCAGTTTTAATTACACAGCTATGTGATTACTGAATTGCTTGTGTAAATATCAGAGTTTGTGTATAAGGGATTTTAACATTTGTCATATAACTGGCGCTGTCTGGTGTCAATATTTGTGTGACGTGAAGACCTGTGTTGGCACCTCAGATGCTCTTTGGCCAACATTCCATTCCATTATTTATTGTATGTACATACTCTTGTTAGCCACTGCTTCTTACAGAAGAATATGCCAAAATAAATTATGTTTTGGAGATCATTGTTTCGATTTTTGTGTAGTGATAATGTATCATTTGGGTGAATTGAAGCCACCGACTTGAAACCCATACATATTACCTTGTCGGATATAGACATATTTATATATGTGGCCACATTGTCAAAACAAGCTTCGCTTTGGTATGTGGGTGTCTTTGAATGTCTCTCTCCGATAACTTGGTTAACATGCTTTACACCTTAAAGTCAAGACATAAGATAATTCAGTTATTTTGCGCGAAAAATAATAGTAACAAATCATAGAAGTGGTAGTTTATAACTGTCAGAAACAAGATAGAAGATTTTTGTGTTACTTTCAATAGACTTATGTTAAATTTTGAACAATTAACTAGCCTTTGCATGTGTTTATACAGTGTCACAGTGGGTTATGAGATATGTCATCATATCTCAGTGGGCTAGTACAATGAATGTGCATGAATGGGGACAAGTACGAGCAGCAACAGAGAGAGTGTTAGTAAAAATATATATATAACTGCCTATTATTGGTTCATAACAACTGTCACCCATGAAGGTCCGGGTTAGAATGAACCTTCAGTAACCCATGCTTGTCGTAAGATGCGACTAACGGGATCCGGTGGTCAGGCTCGCTGGCTTGGTTGCCACATGTCATCGGTTCCCAACTGCGCAGATCGATGCTCATGCTGTTGATCACTGGATTGTCTGGTCTAGGCTTGATTATTTACAGACCGCCACCATATAGCTGGAATATTGCTGAGTGCGGGGTAAAACTAAACTTACTCACTCATAACAACTGTCAGATTGAAGCCAGTAGTTAAATTAGTAGTGGTAGATAACAAGCACTGATTTGATCTGATGAAAAGGAAGGCAGGTGGTTATTGGCACAAAATGGTAAGTGACAGTGACAGAAGGAAGCCAGATGAGTCATTAGCCCAGACAGATGGCAACTAAGATTAGTTAAATCTAAACATTCATGTTTATATTCGTGCTCTCTGCTACCAGGCATTTAATGTCGATGGCCTTAGCTGTTCACAGTTGCTAACAAAGACGTGCTAGTGGTACGAGTAACAGTAATTGTTAATCTGCTTTGTCGGTGGAAAGGTTGTCTTTGTAAGCGCTTGTAGCTGCGACGGGGCAGTGTGGTAGCCTAGTGGTTAAAGCGTTCGCTCGTCACGCCGAAGACCCAGGTTTAATTCCTCATGTGTACAATGTGTGAAGCCCATTGTGGTGTCCCAAGCTGTGATGTTGCTGGAATATTGCTAAAACCATACTCACTCACTCACACAGGCTGTCTTTGTTAGCAACGGTGAACAGCTCCAAGCACTTACAAAGGCAAACTTTGTTAGCAACGGTAAACAGTTACAAGCACTTACAAAGACAAACTTTGTTAGCAACGGTGAACAGTTACAAGCACTTACAAAGACAAACTTTGTTAGCAACGCTGAACAGCTACAAGCACTTACAAAGACAAACTTGTTAGCAACTGTGAACAGTTACAAGCACTTACAAAGACAAACTTTGTTAGCAACGCTGAACAGTTACAAGCACTTACAAAGACAAACTTTGTTAGCAACGCTGAACAGCTACAAGCACTTACAAAGACAAACTTTGTTAGCAACGCAGAACAGCTACAAGCACTTACAAAGACAAACTTTGTTAGCAACGCTGAACAGCTACAAGCACTTACAAAGACAAACTTTGTTAGCAACACTGAACAGCTACAAGCACTTACAAAGACAAACTTCTTGGTCGGTGGAAAGGTTGTCTTTGTAAGTGCTTGTAGCTGCGAACGGGGCAGTGTGGTAGCCTAGTGGTTAAAGCGTTCGCTCATCACGCTGAAGACCCAGGTTTGATTCCTCACATGGGTACAATGTGTGAAGCCCATTGTGGTGTCCCAAGCTGTGATGTTGCTGGAATATTGCTAACACCATACTCACTCACTCACAAAGGCTGTCTTTGTTAGCAGCGGTGAACAGCTACAAGCACTTACAAAGACAAACTTTGTTAGCAACGGTGAACAGCTACGAGCACTTACAAAGACAAACTTTGTTAGCAACGGTGAACAGCTACAAGCACTTACAAAGACAAACTTTGTTAGCAACGGTGAACAGCTACAAGCATTTAACAAAGACAAACTTTGTTAGCAACGCTGAACAGCTACAAGCACTTACAAAGACAAACTTTGTTAGCAACGCTGAACAGCTACAAGCACTTACAAAGACAAACTTTGTTAGCAACGCACTTACAAAGACAAACTTTGTTAGCAACGCTGAACAGCTACAAGCACTTACAAAGACAAACTTGTTAGCAACGCTGAACAGCTACAAGCACTTACAAAGACAAACTTGTTAGCAACGCTGAACAGCTACAAGCACTTACAAAGACAATTGTCCAGACTCGATTATTTACAGACCGCCGCCATATAGCTGTGATATTGCTGAGTGCGGTGTAAAACTAAACCCACTCACTACAAAGACAAACTTTGTTAGCAACGGTGAACAGCTACAGTACTTACAAAGACAAACTGGTGGTAGGTAATGCTCCCTGCATTAGGTAACTCGTACACAGGATGGATGAGTTAGTAAATACTCATAAACATTGTGTTCCTTATAACAGAGATGTCCATATATACTCCCGCTTGTGTGCATTACTACTAAATGTCAAAGACCTCATTACTGAAATACCGGTGAAGACGATGTTAATCCCCACTAAAACTCCCCATCAGCCTTTACATA